CAAAGCAGCACGGTGACCGTGCAGGGGGAGGGGACAGAAGCCCTGTCTGGCCACGGATGGCCTCCAAGATGGGGGCTGGGTGCAGTGGTCAGGACGAGCTGCACTTTCCAAAGGTGCTGTCTGTGAAATGTCCCCAGAAATGTCTCAGGACAGCAGTCTGTCACCTGCAGGGCCCCCAGCGACACCAGGGCGAGCCTCGGGCCTGGGGGGTGGCCCGCGCTCACGATGCTCTGGGTCCTGGGAAGCCATGTGCTTTTCCTGCTTCTCTGTCCAGCCTGAAGCACAGGCAGGCCTTCCTCCGCCTTCCTGCCTGTTCCCACACAGCAGCACACCGTGGGCTAACGCACGTGCACAGGTAGACCCATGTGCACGTGTACCTGGGAGACTCCTGCCCAGGAGGCAAGCCCTGGGTCTGCGTCCCTCCCTGTGGTGACCTGCACTTACTTGGTCCCCAGGAGCTGAGAGTCGGGATGAGGCTGGAGCTGCAGGTCATTTGGAGGCAGGACTCTTGGCTCTGGAGTGAAATCTATAAGGAAAGGTAATCCCAGTCCAGTCAAGATTACCTGGGAAGAACACTTCAGCATCACCCTCGTGTGTCCAACTGGGCTCGCGGTTGCTCAGCACCCTGGGGCAAAGTCTGGGCACATTCCCGGCGGGGGCGGGGGGCAGCGTGTGCTTTCATGGCCTGGCTGGGAAGAATGGTTGGGTCCCATGTGAACTGTAGCAAGGTCAAAACATGATTATTTTCTGGGAAATCAATAAACTTCTCAGTGCACTTCTTATAGCCTTTATAGGCAACTTAATCGCTGGTGGTATGCCAAGGCAGGAGACTTAGGAGACACAGGTTCAATCCCGAGTCAGGAAGATCCCCTGGAGGACGGAATGACAACCCACTCCAATATCCTTCCCTGGAGAATCCCATGGACAGAGGAGCGGGCAGGCTATAGTTCATGGGGTCACAAAGAGTCAGACACGACTGAGCTCACAGGACACATTTGTGGATTCATCTGGTTCTTGGATCTTGTAAACTCTAACCATCCAGTGCTGCAAAACCATTACGACACCCAAGTGTCGAGTGTGTGTCTCAAGGAGGATTCCCTCCAGAGCTCTGTGTTACCATCCACCTCTGTCTCTCCGGAACAGTCACATGCCTTTAAAAACAGACATTCAACCTAGAAAAGCCCCACTCTGCCATTTCTTTGTTCTTATACATATAGGAACATACGCAGTATGCCCGGCCTATAGGAAATCCAGTTCATAATCTTGTGATATGTGTGCTGTAACAGAAATGCTACTTTCCACATTGTTAGAATAAAGATACAATTCACTATAAAATTAATCTAAATATGACTTCATATTTCTTTAATGATTCAGAAGAGTCTTCAGAACTTGCCACCCCTCAGAGTTATCAATATCCTCATCAATATATTATACTCTACATAAGAATAAAGTAAGAAAGGCAATGCCAAAGAATGTTCAAACTACCACACAACTGCACTCATCTCACACGCTAGCAAAGTAATGCTCAAAATTCTCCAGGCCAAGCTTCAATAGCACGTGAACTGTGAACTTCCAGATGTTCAAGCTGGTTTTAGAAAAGGCAGAGGAACCAGAGATCAAATTGCCAACATCCGCTGGATCGTCAAAAAAGCAAGAGAGCTCCAGAAAAACATCTATTTCTGCTCTATTGACTACACCAAAGGCTTTGACTGTGTGGGTCACAATAAACTGCGGAAAATTCTTCAAGAGGTGGGAATACCAGACCACCTGGCCTGCCTCTTGAGAAATCTCTATGCAGGTCAGAAAGCAACAGTTAGAACTGAACATGGAATAACAGACTGGTTCCAAATAGGGAAAAGAAAACATCAAGGCTAAATATTGTCACTCTGCTTATTTAACTTCTATGCAAAGTACATCATGAGAAATGCTGGGCTGGATGAAGCACAAGCTGGAACCAAGATTGCTGGGAGAAATATCAATAGCCTCAGATATGCAGATGACACCACCCTTATGGCAGAAAGTGAAGAAGAACTAAAGAGCCTCTTGATGAAAGTGAAAGAGGAGAGTGAAAAAGTTGGCTTAAAACTCAACATTCAGAAAACTAAGATCATGGCATCTGATCCCATCACTTTATGGCAAATAGATGGGGAAACAGTGGAAACAGTGGCAGAGTTTATTTTCTTGGGCTCTAAAATCACTGCAGATGGTGACTACAGCCATGAAATTATAGGACACTTGCTACTTAGAAGAAAAGCTATGACCAACCTAGACAGATATTAAAAAAAACAAAGACATTACTTTACCAACAAAGGTCCATCTAGTCAAAGCTGTGGTTTCTCCAGTAGTCACTATGGATGTGAGAGTTGGACTATAAAGAAAGCTGAGCACCAAAGAACTGATGCTTTTGAACTGTGGTGTTGGAGAAGACTCTTGAGAGTCCCTTGGACTGCAAGGAGATCCAACCAGTCCATCCTAAAGGAGATCAGTCCTGGATGTTCATTGGAAGGACTCATGCTGAAGCTGAAGCTCCAATACTTTGGCCACCTGATGCGAAGACCTGACTCATTGGAAAAGACCCTGATGCTGGGAAGGACTGAAGGCTGGAGAAGAAGGGGACGACAGAGGATGAGATGGTTGGATGGCATCACCTCTCAATGGACATGAGTTTGGGTGGACTCCGCGCGTTGGTGATGGACAGGGAGGCCCTGGCGTGTGGTGGTCCCTTGGGTGGCAGAGTCGGACATGACTGCGCGGCTGACCTGAACTGAAGAATAAAAGCTCCCAATGAACTGGGGTTGTGGGCAGGAGGTCACTGAATCCACTTTTTTCTTTCTTCAGTAATGAGCTCAAGCAGTGTTATTAGGAGCTGTTGCTGCCGGTCAGTCACTAAGTTGTGTCCGCCTCCTGGCGACCCCACGGACTCAGCACTGCAGGCTTCCCTGTCCTTCCCCATCTCCCAGAGTTTGCCCAGACTCATGAGCACTGGGCCAGTGATTATTAAGAGCAGCCACTAGAAACTGTTTAGTCTGCAGTTTGGTTGTATATTTACACTTATTTTCAAGGTTTAAAAATGAAAGAAATAGAAATGGAGACAAAATCTGCAGAGAGTATGGTCTCTGGGGGCTGGGTGAGACAGTCTTTGGGTGGAAAACATCACGAGATTCTGGTAAAAAGACATGTGATTTCTTTCAGTAAGTTTCTCTAGAGGAAGCACAAATGGAAGAGGCCCAGTAGCGAGGCTCTTACTTCATATCTGACTGTGACGTTGCCTTGCTGTTTCTTATAAGACAAGCCATTGGGTGCGCTCAGCTCGTCTGCATCTGCGGTAACAGCTCTGAACAATCTCAGGCGTCCGCCGGCTGTCAGCCCCTACTGCTGGGCCTTGAACGCCTCGCTTCGACGGACCATTTGCCGGCCACCGCGCACACATCTTGCCTCCCCGCGTCGTGGCCAACCTCTCCCAGCAAGCTGGCTTCCCCGTGGGCCTGACCGCTGCAGTAACCCAGCCGGGCGTGTGAGGGCTGGGCCACTCCCCGCCCTCCTTGTGTGCGAGGCGCCGCATTCCCCTGGGCGGCCGTGGGGTGCGGGTTTAGAAATCGATTAGAGCTGGGATGGAGTTAGCTGCGAGAACACGCTCCACAGCCACCTCTGCAGGGCACGGCTCCCTCGTTCAGCCTGGACAAGGCCCCGCCTGCAGAATTAATGGGGAGCCCACGGCAAAGCCTGCAGGGCCCGCGGGTGCCCTGGCTGAGCCTTGGACACAGCATCCCGATCTCTGGTAGCCGATCCAGCAGCACCCGAGAGGGCAAGACAATTAAACCTCCGTAAGTTTGTGCAGCACTTCGAGGAGGAGAGGCACTACATAAATGCTAAGTGTTGTTATCACAGGGCAGAAGGAAGGACAGAGATGATGAATGCTAAGAGAGAAGTCCCTGCACGACAGAGCGCCAGGGCAGAGTGGAAGAGATTATCTCACGTCGAAGTTTAAAAAGTTAAAAAAAAAAAAATAGGGGAGAAAGCCAGGCTCGGAAATGAAAGGGAGGCTCCAGGAAGTATTAAGATAAATTATGCAATTTAATGAAACTTGATGGAGTCAGAGGTCACCGAGAGACAATGGGAACTCTGGAACATGGTTGTGATAATTAATTCCTAAAAAAAATCAATTAATGTTTTCTCTCATCGTTCGTGAAGGGGGCTGGAGCGGGGAGGGCATGCACATGTCTCCTCCAGGAGGGGCGAGGATGGTGAGGAAACCAGGATCCTGTTGACACGGGAGATCCAGAAGTGAGTGCCTGCGGAGGGGTGGGTGCACCCACCCCCGAGCCTGCAGGAAGAGGGCAGGGAGACTGCCAACTGAGGCTGCCAGGAGTGATCAGCAAGCACATTGTACATTTAGGACTTCACGGGGACGGTGAGGAACAGGGACTTGTTTATTTCCTAGTGCACAAAAATGGCTTTGGATCTTCTGACCCGTAAAGATGGTACACTCAGAGAAACACACACACACATGGAGCAACATGCTGCAGCCAGGCTCTGGGGCATCTGCTCATTTTGTATTCTTTTTTAAGATTTTTTTTTTTTAATAATCATTTCGGAAGTCCTCATTGCATTTGTTAGTACATTGCTTCTGTTTTAAGTTTTGGTTTTTTGGCCAAGAGGCATGTAGTATCTTAGCTCCAAGAGCAGGAATTGAACCCACACGCCCTGCACTGGAAGGCAAACTCTTAACTACGAGAGCACCATGGAAGTCCCTCAGTGGTGTTCTTGAGGCAGCTTCAGAGTCACCTTAGGAAAGATGACCTTTATCCCCTGCTAGTGAGAAACAGCCGACAACTGAGTTGTCCCTAGGACATCTAGCTCAGAGCTTTACCACACAGAATACTGCGTCATAAACTTTTTTGTCGGTTTGTTTTGAAGACACGAAAGAGAAGAAAGTAGAAGGGACTAGACTTGGGCGGCCAAGTCCTTGAATCATACATCGCTCATCCGGAGGAACTCACGGCACACTCGAGGTGGATGGTGAGGGCGAACACAGGGTCCAACGGGCCGCTGCAGGGCGGCAGGGATGGCAGAGCGGGCAGGGAGGCCTCGTCCAGTCCAAGGGGAAAGATGCTTGGAGCGGAGGGAGCACAGGTGATGGAATTCGCTGGTTGGGGCAAGTGGCCACAAGTAGAGGTGAGGGGTCATGTCACTCAGAGGGATGGTTCCCAGTCGGGTAAGTGGGGCGTAGTTGAGGAGGGAGAAAGGAAAGAGACTGAGACGAGGGACAGAAATTGCGAAAGGGCAGGTGGCCGAAATGGCGACAGGCACACAGTGGCCTCGAATGGACATGGAGATGGAGACAGAAATCAGAAGTGTCGCCAGTGGGTCAAAGACAGCAGGCCAGCAGCAGGGGAGTGGGCGCTGAAACCCTGGAGGACCCCAGCCGTCTCTACGCGCGCCGTGGGCAGGACCGCACTTGACACCGTGCGCGCGGCTCGGATCCCTCTGACCGCAGAAGCGTGTCATGGAAACAGAGGGCGAGCGCTGAGGCCCGGGGTTGGCAGGGGAGCCGGTGTGCTGAGGAAGGAGGAGGTTGAGAGAGACTCCCGTTGGGAGACTGATGGACTTTGATTTGTATTTGATTTGTACACAAATCACGCCCTTTGGGATACTGACCCTTATCAGCACAGGGTCTGGCCGCTCGTGTCGGAGAGGGGGCCGCCACGCCTGCCCACTGGTTTCCGGCGACGAGGTACCTGTGTCGCGGTCCTCCCATGGGAGCAGAGTGGCCAGGGGCTCAGACGCCCAGAGCGGGAAGCGAGCCTCCTGTGCTCGGCTCCCTCAGGAAAGAGCAGGCCGGCCGCCTGGGGCCCTTGACATGTTCCTGCAGCAGAAATCCCAGCGCGGCCTCTCTGCCAGCCCGCCAAGAACCTGCAACCCACGAAGGTCGACACCAACCACACGGCATCTGGGAAGTGGTCCCCCCTCAAAGAAAGAGTCCTCCACGTGTTCACGCGGGTCCGGGAGCCCACCCCGTCAGCCACAGCTGCCAGACCGTATTTGCTTCTGACTCTGTCGTTCTGCTTTTGCCAGTTCACTGCCTGCTTTTGCCAGCTTCGTCCCCTCTCAGCTGTCACTATCTCTGGGCTCCCAGACGCCCTCCCTCCCTGCCATCCTTCTCTCCTTCACACTTACCTACCTCTATTTCCTTCTTTTAAGATCTGTATGTCAGAAACCAAAGCCCACCATATTCACACGCCCCAGTGCAATTAATCACTGTGAAGTAGACATGCAAACTGATTCACCCGAAGATCCAGTCCTGTGCATCACAGGGTGGTTAGGGGCGTTTCAGGGTGAGGGTTGGGGCGTTTCAGGGGTTGAGGGTTGGGGCGTTTCCGGGTGAGGGTTGGGGCGTTTCAGGGGTTGAGGGTTGGGGCGTTTCAGGGTGAGGGTTAGGGGCGTTTCCGGGTGAGGGTTAGGGGCGTTTCAGGGTGAGGGTTAGGGGTGTTTCAGGGGTTGAGGGTTAGGGGCGTTTCAGGGTGAGGGTTAGGGGTGTTTCAGGGGTTGAGGGTTAGGGGCGTTTCAGGGTGAGGGTTGGGGCGTTTCAGGGTGAGGGTTAGGGGCGTTTCAGGGTGAGGGTTGGGGGCGTTTCAGGGTGAGGGTTAGGGGCGTTTCAGGGTGAGGGTTAGGGGCGTTTCCGGGTGAGGGTTAGGGGCGTTTCAGGGTGAGAGTTAGGGGTGTTTCAGGGTGAGGGTTAGTGGCGTTTCCGGGTGAGGGTTAGGGGCGTTTCCAGGTGAGGGTTAGGGGCGTTTCAGGGTGAGGGTTGGGGCGTTTCAGGGTGAGGGTTGGGGCGTTTCAGGGTGAGGGTTAGGGGCGTTTCCGGGTGAGGGTTAGGGGCGTTTCAGGGTGAGGGTTAGGGGCGTTTCAGGGTGAGGGTTGGGGCGTTTCAGGGTGAGGGTTAGGGGCGTTTCAGGGTGAGGGTTGGGGCGTTTCAGGGTGAGGGTTAGGGGCGTTTCAGGGTGAGGGTTAGGGGTGTTTCAGGGTGAGGGTTAGGGGTGTTTCAGGGTGAGGGTTAGGGGCGTTTCCGGGTGAGGGTTAGGGGCGTTTCAGGGTGAGGGTTGGGGCGTTTCAGGGTGAGGGTTAGGGGCGTTTCCGGGTGAGGGTTAGGGGCGTTTCAGGGTGAGGGTTAGGGGCGTTTCAGGGTGAGGGTTGGGGCGTTTCAGGGTGAGGGTTAGGGGCGTTTCAGGGTGAGGGTTGGGGCGTTTCAGGGTGAGGGTTAGGGGCGTTTCAGGGTGAGGGTTGGGGCGTTTCAGGGTGAGGGTTAGGGGCGTTTCAGGGTGAGGGTTGGGGCGTTTCCGGGTGAGGGTTAGGGGCGTTTCAGGGTGAGAGTTAGGGGTGTTTCAGGGTGAGGGTTAGTGGCGTTTCCGGGTGAGGGTTAGGGGCGTTTCCAGGTGAGGGTTAGGGGCGTTTCAGGGTGAGGGTTGGGGCGTTTCAGGGTGAGGGTTGGGGCGTTTCAGGGTGAGGGTTAGGGGTGTTTCAGGGTGAGGGTTAGGGGCGTTTCCGGGTGAGGGTTAGGGGCGTTTCAGGGTGAGGGTTGGGGCGTTTCAGGGTGAGGGTTAGGGGCGTTTCCGGGTGAGGGTTAGGGGCGTTTCAGGGTGAGGGTTAGGGGCGTTTCAGGGTGAGGGTTGGGGCGTTTCAGGGTGAGGGTTGGGGCGTTTCAGGGTGAGGGTTAGGGGCGTTTCAGGGTGAGGGTTAGGGGTGTTTCAGGGTGAGGGTTAGGGGTGTTTCAGGGGTTGAGGGTTAGGGGTGTTTCAGGGTGAGGGTTAGGGGTGTTTCAGGGTGAGGGTTAGGGGTGTTTCAGGGTGAGGGTTAGGGGTGTTTCAGGTTGAGGGTTAGGGGCATTTCACGGTGAGGGTTAGGGGTGTTTCAGGGTGAGGGTTAGGGGTGTTTCAGGGGTTGAGGGTTAGGGGTGTTTCAGGGTGAGGGCAACCCAGGTGCTTAGCAGCACAGTGACCCAGTGCTGAGAAAAGTAAAACCAGCAGTGACTGGTCTTTGTTTGAGGGGCCAGCAATTCCCATGGCAGAAAAACCGGGTTCCAACTCACTCAGTAAATGCTGACTTGTCTGAATGCTTGCTGAACTTTGAAGGAGGAGACGCCGGGCTTACCTGGAGCCGTGACTCCGCCGTGTGGCTGGGTTCTGTGCCGCTGCTCACACTCCGAACCATGACTCATTTAGTCTGGGTGCTGGGTGACTGGGTTCTCCAGATGTCGCTCTCCGGCTTCAGAGAAGCTGACACAGGGGGCTGGGAAACCCGCTTGGGGGTGGCCACTCTGGCAGGACCCCCACGGGAGAAGCGCTGTGCTTCCTGAGGCTGAGCCGGCCCCTGCAGGGCGACCTCAGAGGGGACACGGGGTGCACGCCAAGCCTCACGCCCTCAGGACTGCTGGGGAAGGCCCCACATGTTGCAGGAACCAGGAGACTCCAGACGAAGCAGAGCCTCGGGGCTCAAAGACGTCATCTCCAAGGAGACGTGCGGGTGCAGGGCAGAGGGACCAGCCATGCATACACGTGTCCAGTCCTGCTGCCTGCAAGTGCTGCAGCGGGCCCTAGAGCTCCAGGACGTATTTATCTACTGGTTGCAAATGTGCACCTTAAAAACATCTCTTCCTGCATCCCTGAGGCTCCAGTAACCACCATTTTACTTTCTATCATTAAGCATTTGGCACTAGAGGCGCTAGCTAATGCTTCAGTGGTCATCATACTGCAATATATGAATACAGCAAGCCACCACGTACACTTTAAACTTACACAAGGGTATATCTCAAACACATGTCAACAAAAAATCATACATTTTTAAAAGCAGGGCATGTATACACCTGCATCAAGTAACACAAACAAAAGACAAAGGAGACGTGCCGAAGAGTTACGGAGAAATTCAGACGTTTCCTCAGGACGGAAACATGCACAGCGGGCTTCAGAAGCGCGCCTGGTGGGGGGAGGGGTGGCAAAGGTGGAGAGAGGTGGCTCCCGGGGCGAGTGACTCTGAGGTCAGGTTGCAGGTGCCCGAACTCAGACACTCCCACGCTGGACTGTGTGTGTGCGCGCGCACATGTGCATGCATGCATGTGCATGTGTGTGCCTGTGTGTGCGTGCGTGGGTATGTGCGTGGGTGTGCACGGGCTCCACCGGCAGAGCTGGTGAACCACGTACACTGTGAGGTCACCAGCACGACCATCACCGCCTATCTCAGCTGCAGGCCCCCTCGTTCCCCTGCGTCGCCCTCCTGTCTGGTTTCCTGAGAGCCAGAGCGGAAGGCTGTGTGTTTGGTGTAACCAGCACCACTTGGCTTCTGGCTACCAAATATTTGATCGTTTCTATTCCAGCACGAGTTGGGCAACACTCATTCACAGATGCTATTTTGCAGCAAATAAATAAATCTCAACAGAGAGACAGAACGGCCTTTCAGACAATCACAGGGATGCTCGAACATGGAAGCTTCTACTGTTTTATCGCGGGATGAGAAGTGACTTGGGGGCCTCTGAACTAAGAGGCAGAACAGGCAGCTGAGGGCAACGGCTTTCAACTCCAGGGCGTGGTCATCAGCTGGCACTTTCTTTGACTCCTCCCCTCCCTCGTCCTGCCAAGGGTCCGAGGAGTGGGTGGGCAGTGAGGTGCGCCCTTGGGGGAATCACATTCAGCTCATGGTGACTGCACCCCTGCCAAGCGCGGTCACAGTATGATAAGACCAAATTCGTTAAAGGAACAGGGGGAAAGTCTGCTTAGAAGACCTAAGAGCACATGCTGTTAGTTTCTGATTTAAAGTGAGAGAAACACGACGAGGCCCTGGCCCTGTATTAGGGCAGGTGACCTTCTGAGGTTCCTCCTTCTCATTCTGCAGGGGGTCAGCCACTCTGAACACAAGGCCGGGACCCCCAAGGGCTGGGCTTCAGTTTGCTGTGCTGAGGCCCCATTTGCTGAAGGGACCATGGCTGCATTAAAGGGGTTCAGTAGACAGCTCACAGTTTTAATAAACCTGCTGGGCTGCCCCCCACACAGAGCCACGTAAGGAAGAAGCAGGAAATGAGGCAGTCCGGGTCCTGGGACACGGAAACCCAGCTCGACATGATCAGAGCCTGACCACTGTGCGGTTCTCTCCGGGTGGGCCTCCCACCGAAGTTGTGCTCTGTCTGCAGCAGGACCCTAATCTCTCTCCATTCACCCCTTCCTTCCTTCCCGCCATCTGTCCACGGGCACGTGGAGTCTATGCTCTGTTCCAAGCACTTGGGTCCGCTTGGTGCAGAACCAAGCCTTCGTCCTCCGTGGACGCCATGCTCCAACCGGAAGGGCTGGAGAATGAGCGGTGACTTCGGGTGCAGGGGGTGAGATGTTTATCGGGAGGTCAGGGCCAGGTGCTGGAATTTCAACTTCTGTTCCGTGACACCCCTCCCCTTCCTTGCGTATCAGGCATTAGACCTGTTTGTACCCACAGGCCCCTCTGGGCAAGGCCGGCCGGCTCTCAGGGCTGGAGAGTTGACCGCTGTCCTTCCTTCTCCACCTGGGGAGGAAAGTGGATCTAGACCCCGAGCTTCCCGGGACCCTGTGTCGGCCTGTCCGCCGCTGGCCTCGCATGCCCGAGTCCCTGCCCTCCTGACAGGCCGTGTCCTCGTCCTTAGCCCCACACGAGAGGCTCCCTAAAACCCCACCTTCTGACACAAGGCACTGGTGGCTGCAGCTCTGGCCCGGAACCCCCCGCCACCCCCACGCCGAGGTTCCAGGCCTCCCGAGTCCCGAGAGAGACGCAGAGCACCCCGGCCCCTGCCCCGCCCCCCGCCCGCTTCTCCCAGACACCCTTCCCGGGCCGCAGCGCGGGGCTCCTCCGCGACTGGCAGGTTTCCAGGGTCGGGCGGTGCAGGCAGACGGGCAGCCCGCAAGGCCACGCTCGTTTGGCCGTCGGTTCCCCGGTGGGGCTGGCGTCTGCTCTCCTAGGAGGAGACTCTGCTCTGCGGGCTCAGCATCTCCCCCCACACACGCCCGTCTGCCCTGGGTGGGCAGGAGCCCCTGTAACCCAGCCGGTGGGGCTTCCGTGTCCATTGTCTTTGTCCCCTGAAAGTGGTCCCCTGAGGGCAGGGCCATGCTGAGACCCCCCCAAGACCCCCCGCGGCATATGACGCATGTACCCCTGGGTGCAGAAACGAGGCCTGGCAGCACAAAATGGCCTGAGCACACGGCCGGACATACCCCGAGGGCATCTGGGAGTGAAGGGTCATCACACGCCCACCACCCAAGCCATGCAGCCCCCAGCTCTCTGGCCTGGCAGCTCTGGGCTCCTCTTACGTAACCTCTGAGAACGGATAAGCCACTATCCACGTGGCTCCGCATTGTTCCTGCCAGCGAGGAACCCATTAAGTTGCCTTTGAAATCTCTATCCTGCGTCTATCTGCATGCATTAGCATATTTTATGATTTAAATCTAATTATCAGGGTTTTTCCAAGCGATGAAACTGAAAGTGATCCTAGTCGAGCACTTTAACAGAGCCAGAACAAAAGGCAGAAGAACGGACAAATTTGATGAAAAGCTTTCTTCACGCAGGATGCGACCAAACTGATGAAAGATCAGAAATTTGAAGACGAAGTGAAGGGAACCACTCAGTAGTTATTGATGGGAAGCTTCCCAGATCTGCCCCTGGATTTCCTGAAACCACCCCAGAGGCGCCAGTGGGACCAGACAGGCAGCATGTTAATCATGGTCGTCTCTCCCAAGGACAAACCCACCTGCTGAATGTGGCGTCTCCAGTAGAGGTTTGTTGGAAGTACACATCCCTGGGACGTCTTGGCGAAGGGGCTGTGAGACGTTCTCAGTGACCCGGGGGTCAGCTGGCTTGATGCCAGCCTGATCAGCGCCACTGACTCCAATGGTCAGTGAATTTATTTCCTAGGGCTATGCTGCAAACACCAGCTCAAGTCACAGAAATGCGCTTTCTCACAGCCTGGAGGCGGAAGTCCAAGGTGGGGGTGTCAGCAGGGTGGGCTCTCTGGGGGCGGTGATGGAGACCCTGCTCCTGCCTCCTCCCCAGATTCTGGACACCCCTCGGCTCGCAGGTGACCCCCTTCTGCCCGCGTCTTCTCATCGCCTCTGTCTGCATCTGTCTGTCTGACTCTCCCTCTTCCTACAGACACCGGTCACATTGGCTTAGGGCCGCCCCAAGGCCGCGTCTGCACTCGCTGTCCTCCCAGACCTCCAGGCACGCTCATGCTCATGCTCATGCTCACAGGCCCCGGATACTAGAGCTTCAGGACATCAGGGGACACAGCTCAAGCCCCAGGGCTCAGGTAAGTGTCCAGAGCCGGCTCGCAAGGTCAGCTCTCACCCTGAAAGTCTACTCAGGTGGTTTTCACAACCAGACTCAACACAACTCCTTCTTAGAAAGCTTTGCCCGGAAGGTATGGCTTTCCACAGATGTCTGACCTGAGTCACCGTCCAGACGGGAAGAGCCACTGGCTGCGCTGGGAGCCCATCCAGGAAAGAAAAGCAACAGCCCCAGGCCTAGAAATCTGGAGGTAACGTGATCACTCGATGTTGGGCTCTTCCAGGTAACAAATTCTCCTATCTTAAAAGTACAAAATACAAATGACCTTAGAGCCCATCACTGATTCTGGGGAAGATTGAGGACAGGAGAAAAAGGGGACGACAGAGGATGAGACGGTTGGGTGGCATGAGTTTGAGCAAGATCCGGGAGATGGTGAAGGACGGGGAAGCCTGGTGTGCTGCAGTTCATGGGGTCGCAAAGAGTCAGACACGACTTAGCAAGTGAAGAACAACAATAAAATCATTACTACTACTAATGTGTGAGTGACTGAACAACAGGTCATCACACTGTCCTCCACAAGCTGGGAAAGGCTTTCGCTAAACCCCACCCCAGGAGCGTGGGAGAAGGAAAGGCAGGGATGAGGACAGTCACACAGCCCGTAGGGTTCTGAACCCATGACCTCCAGCTGAGCCTGCAGAGCGGGGGACAGGGCCCGGGGAGTCTCAGCCTCGACCTCCCTTAGCTCTACACTAACAGCACTCTGCTCCTCCAGCGGCTCCTGCCCGCCAGCAGCTCCCGCCCGCCAGCGGCGCCCAGGTGCTGGTTCCTGGCCTGCACCGTCAGACAGCAGCTAAAACACCCGCCCCTCCAGCCATGTGCCATGGAACCAGAAACCATGGATCGAAAAGACCTTGTATGTGATGAAAAAATCTGAAAACACAACTCTGCAGAGAGGCGGTCCTTCTCCCAGGAGAGAACTAAGCTATGAATTTAAATGAGTGTGCAGGGTGTGGGAAAGGCATGACTGTTTGGACAGAGCACTGACCGATGGCTGAAAGCCCTTCACGTCCAGGGAGAAGCCCCGCACCTAAGACACTAAAAGCCTCCGGTCAGTGATGTCTCTGGGTGAGGCCTTCTGCACCCATGTTGCCCTTCTGGCTTGGTGGACACCTCCAGAATCTCCTTTACTTGCTGACTGGGGACAAGGCCTGAGCCCCTTAAGTGTGCATGGGATGACAAGCCCTGAGTAGGGTTGGGGGGCTGTCCACCGGCCCCGAGCCCCTCCACAAGCCCACAGGTGGCCCTCTGGTTCTCTGGTCACTTCATCCCCCGCAGCATTCTGGCCACATCTACTGGTCAGCCTGGCTCATGCCACTCTCTCCTTTCAGCCTCCAGGACGCCTGGGGCCCCACGGTGTTCCTGCAGTGACTCCACCATTCCACCCGCCCAGCCCTGGTTTCCGATGACCCTGCACGCAGACAGGCCTGCTCTCCCCCGGAGGACAGGGCCGTGTGTGTCCCCTGCCGCCACCCCAGCCCCCACACCGCATCTGGCTCCTGGCCGACCTCCCCCACCCGCACACGCGTGGACAAGCGGGACCCCGGGGCACCCAGGCCTGAGCTGGGTGTCAGCTCTGGCCCCCTGGACCAGCACGCCCTCCTGAAGGCTGGCGCAGCTCACAGCCAGCCCTGCCCAAGGCCTGGAGCCCGGGCCTCCTCTGGTGCCCGGAAGGAGGGGGTCACTCTTCTGCTCCTACTTTGTTCCCAGAAGAACAGAACTCCCGGTGATCAAGTCAGGAAGGGCACTCCCCCCGCCCCCGGCTTCTGTTTTTAGCCCGCGCCTGCCGGGATCTGAGATTCCATGGTGATGGGAGTCATAGAAATAGAGACGGAAGATCAATTGCCTAAAAGGTTCTGCATTCTGTGCTCCCTGCATAAGCGGACGTGAGCTGGAGGCTGCACACTGACTACCCCCTAATTCACCCTCTGCTTTCTCAGATGTTCCTTCAAGCAGAGAGCTCACGGGGATGCGGCGTTTTACCCACCCGAGCATCGATGGAGGCAACGGCAGCTTGCAGGCCCCCGGGGCAAAGAAAGAGGCAGGAGGGTGATTATGCCCATCAGTCACCTCCTAAAAAGCCCCAAGATCCCCCTAACCCCAACACTCAAGGCCGGTCTAAAGCAGACAGTGGTGTCTACACACACAGGGTCACCCCACCCCCACAAGGTCAAGGGCAGAGAACTAAGCCCAGCTCTTTACACATAACCCACTTTAATCACACTGTTCTGCTGTATTCTACCTTGAAAAGTGGACTTCCAAGATTCAAAGCCTAAGGAAGAAAGGTATGAAGTTAAGTGAAAGCTGCTCAGTCATGTCTGACCCTTTGCGACCCCATGGCCTATAGAGTTCATGGGATTCTCCAGGACAGAATACTGGAGTGGGTGGCCTTTCCCTTCTCCAGGGGATCTTCCCAACCCAGAGATCGAACCCAGGTCTCCCGCATTGCAGGCAGATTCTTTACCAGCTGAGCCACAGGGAAGAAAGATGTAATAAACACTATAAATGTGAGAACCGCTCATGACATTGATGTGGCTGTTTTGAGAGGCAATGGCTTCGCGGGACCCCTTTCGGGAGCTCACAGTAAACCCACACGGTGGGTAATACCAGCATCTTTCCACAGATGGAGGCCTTCTCAGGTGGCCCAGCCCTAAAGAACCCACCTGCAATGCAGGAGATATAGAAGCGGGTTCGATCGTAGGTTGGGAAGATCTCCTGGAGGAGGGAATGGCTACCCACTCCTTCATTCCTGGAGAGGCTCATGGACAGAGGAGCCTGACGGGCTGCAGTCCACGGGGTCGCAGACTGAGCGTGCACGCACTGCAGATGGAGACGTCAGATGAAGTGAGGAGAAAGGAGACTGAAGGGTTTTCTAACTTTCAGAAGCAACAGAAGCAGAGCCGCACCCATGTCTGCCCAGCACCCTCCACCCCAGGCCAGTCCCAAGTCCCAGAGCCTCTGCTCCAGCAAGAGTTGAGTCCCACATAAGGAGGGCAAGGTGCCCTGAGCTGCGAAGATGTCCCTGGAGCTGGTCAGATGCAAGACAGTGGGGCTTTTTCCCATCAGGACCCAGGTCTCCCCTGGTGTGTCTCCCCATGGATGGGTCTCCCCCCGGGGGGTGGGTCTCCCCCTGGATGGACCTCACCCTGGTGGATCTCCCCTGGATGGGTCTCCCCCTGGAGGATGGGTCTCCCCCTAGATAGGTCTCACCCTGGTGGGCCACCCCTGGATGGGTCTCCCCCTGGAGGGTGGGTCTCCCCCTGGAGGGTGGGTCTCCCCCTAGATAGGTCTCCCCCTGGTGGGTCTCCCCTGGATGGGTCTCCCCCTGGAGGGTGGGTCTCCCCCTGGATGGACCTCACCCTGGTGGATCTCCCATGGATGGGTCTCCCCCTGGAGGGTGGGTCTCCCCCTAGATGTGTCTCCCCCTAGTTAGGTCTCCCCCTGGTGGGTCTCCCCTGGATGGGTCTCCCCCTGGAGGGTGGGTCTCCCCCTGGAGGGTGGGTCTCCCCCTAGATAGGTCTCCCCCTGTGGGTCTCCCCCGGAGGGTGGGTCTCCCCCTGGATGGACCTCACCCTGGTGGATCTCCCATGGATGGGTCTCCCCCTGGAGGGTGGGTCTCCCCCTAGATGGGTCTCCCCCTAGTTAGGTCTCCCCCTGGTGGGTCTCCCCTGGATGGGTCTCCCCTGGATGGGTCTCCCCCTGGAGGGTGGGTCTCCCCCTAGATAGGTCTCACCCTGGTGGGTCACCCCTGGATGGGTCTCCCCCTGGAGGGTGGGTCTCCCCCTGGATGGACCTCACCCTGGTGGATCTCCCCTGGATGGGTCTCCCCCTGGAGGATGGGTCTCCCCCTAGATAGGTCTCACCCTGGTGGGTCACCCCTGGATGGGTCTCCCCCTGGAGGGTGGGTCTCCCCCTAGATAGGTCTCCCCCTGGTGGGTCTCCCCTGGATGGGTCTCCCCCTGGAGGGTGGGTCACCCCCTGGATGGACCTCACCCTGGTGGATCTCCCATGGATGGGTCTCCCCCTGGAGGGTGGGTCTCCCCCTAGATAGGTCTCCCCCTGGTGGGTCTCCCCTGGATGGGTCTCCCCCTGGAGGGTGGGTCTCCCCCTAGATAAGTCTCCCCCGGTGGGTCTCCCCCTGGAGGGTGGGTCTCCCCCTGGATGGACCTCACCCTGGTGGATCTCCCGTGGATGGGTCTCCCCTGGATGGGTCTCCCCCTGGAGGGTGGGTCTCCCCCTAGATAGGTCTCACCCTGGTGGGTCACCCCTGGATGGGTCTCCCCCTGGAGGGTGGGTCTCCCCCTAGATAGGTCTCCCCCTGGTGGGTCACCCCTGGATGGGTCTCCCCCTGGAGGGTGGGTCTCCCCCTAGATAGGTCTCCCCCTGGTGGGTCACCCCTGGATGGGTCTCCCCCTGGAGGGTGGGTCTCCCCCTAGATAGGTCTCCCCCTGGTGGGTCTCCCCTGGATGGGTCTCCCCCTGGAGGGTGGGTCTCCCCCTAGATAGGTCTCACCCTGGTTGGTCTCCCCTGGATGGGTCTCCCCCTGGAGGGTGGGTCTCCCCCTAGATAGGTCTCCCCCTGGTGGGTCTCCCCTGGATGGGTCTCCCCCTGGAGGGTGGGTCTCCCCCTAGATAGGTCTCCCCCTGGTGGGTCTCCCCTGGATGGGTCTCCCCCTGGAGGGTGGGTCTCCCCCTAGATAGGTCTCACCCTGGTGGGTCACCCCTGGATGGGTCTCCCCCTGGAGGGTGGGTCTCCCCCTAGATAGGTCTCCCCCTAGTTAGGTCTCCCCCTGGTGGGTCTCCCCTGGATGGGTCTCCCCCTGGAGGGTGGGTCTCCCCCTAGATAGGTCTCACCCTGGTGGTTCTCCCCTGGATGGGTCTCCCCCTGGAGGGTGGGTTTCCTCCTGGATGGACCTCACCCTGGTGGATCTCCCCTAGATGGGTCTCCCCCTGGTGGGTCTCAGTGTCTGCCCTGCTGAGAACTGGACAAGCTCACATGCAGACCTTAGGAGCACAGCCTGGAAAGGACTTTCTCTGGGGCTTGAAGGGGCTCCCACCTCCCATGCTCAAACGCCAACAGTGACTCAGGAAGGGAAGGAAATGCAGGGAGCAAAATGCTTTCTTTGTGTGACTTTTCACATAAAACTTTCTTTCGGAACAAACAGTTCCAGTGGGCACAGCCGACGCCATCTCACAACAAACACAGCGGTCTGGGGACAGAGGCCCAGGGTTTTCCGTGGTTACAGGCGCCCAGCACTCGTGGGAGGCACTCTGTTGTACATCCAAACCTGATTATCGCATTTGTGAGCACAATCAAATGCTGTACTTGGCCACAACCCACTTTACCTTCTTTTTAAAAACCCGTGAATAGAAATACCAGTGTGGTCAATTATCACCCAGGGAGCAGCCCCACTTTGCGGATCGGCAATGCAGCTGCTTTCAGTCGTCCAGCAACGTGACAGATAACAATGACAGATTAAACAGCTCGACTAGGGGCTGTATGTTATAATAGCATTTAAGTTAATCTTTACATCAATACCCACTCCTCCGGGTTTCCTGCCAGTACTCAGCACCATCCGATTAGCCCGGGCGAGTCATGGAGAAACATGAGCACCACACTCAGGAGCCCCCAGATGGATGGGACCCTGGATGGTCTTCCCCTGCCGGTCCAGGCTTCATCTCACTCCCCCCATCCCTTAGAAACAAGCATTGTTTTCTGGAAAGTCATTCCGTGTCCGTGACCTATTTGACACTTGGAATTCTTGCGCACGCTGGCTCTATAATGATGTCATGTATTTGAAGACCAAAGACAAGGATTTGAGTTTGACTTGTTTAGGAAAACGACGTCCTAAGCCCCAGTTTCCTCATCTAGAGGAATCTGTCTCAAACGACACATATGGGAATCATCTAAGCAAATTGATAGATGGATCAAAGGGAATAGTCATCAACGGAGCAATGAATAAAATGACAAAATGACTTGATAAACCATTGCTCATTGTGTGAGTCAGTTCTTGCCCCAGATAAACATTTTTTGCTCAGTGACCAGATAATAAAATAATGTAAACAGATGTTGGGCTTCCCAGGAGGCTCAGCGGGTAAAGAGCCCACCTGCAACGCAGGAGATACAGAAGCTGTGGGTTCAATCCCTGGGTTGGGAGGATCCCCTGGCGGAGGAAATGGCAACCTACTCCAGTGTTCTTGCCTGGAGAATTCCATGGACAGAGGAGCCTGGTGGGCTACAGTCCATGGGGTCACAAAAAGTCAAACTTGCCTGAAGTGACTGAGCATGCACACGCTTGTGTGCATGCACACACACACAAACACACACACATGCTAACTCTGAAAATGGAAAATGGGAATTTGCCAGAAACCTGAGTTGCTAAGGTCAATACGCTAGAGGCGTATTTGCAACACCTTGCATCGCAGGAGGTTTCCCAACTGGAGGCTGATCGCGTCCTAACACTGACCTCTGAGCTCTCCTGCAGATGAGAGGCCTTCAGGAGTGGAAGACAAATTTGTCCGCCCGGCAAATTCTGAAACTGTTCCGGGTTACTGGAAAGAAAACAGTGTAGTTCCATTTTAATGACTGTGCAACACAGGCCTTTATCCCATTGCTTTTAAACTCCATGGAGTCCTTCCAGAAAACAATGCCTGTTTCTAAGGTATGGGCAACAGCAGCCTGTGGAAATGCTTAGGGCTCATGGAGGAGGGTTCAAAGGGGACTGAATGGTTGGAAAATGATGCCTGGATGGAGTGAGAGGAAACGGGATTCCACGCCTGGGGAGGAGGTGGCCGGGTGGTGACCCTTGGTCTTCAGGTCTCACCCGTGCTCTGTACTGGACGATGGTTGCCGGGAGGCACCCCCTCGCCGCCGGTCGGCGGGGTCAGAGTAGGGCCTCAGACAATGCTCGGGATGAACCAGCCCCTCCCTGGGCCATGAGGCGTGAGGACAGTGACCTCATTCGCTGATAACCGTCTGCTTCTGGGCCCCACGGTGCCCAAGTCAGGGCATTGTCACGTGGGCGCTCTGTGAATTTCTTCTGGTCAGAGTGACTGTTTGAGGTTATCTATGAAGGGTAGTCTCATGTCAGTGAAATGCTTAAAGTTGAAATGGAATATGAAGAGATCTTTTTCATAAGCAGATAGACTGCCATCCACCTCGGGTGATTTAAGTGAGACGGTATCTGCAGGCGGGGATGAGACAGTGACCTCCTGAGTCCCTTCCAACTCAAGATTCCATCATCATTTACATACTTTCCAAACCAAAAGCAATATTCCACGAATGAGACAACTCTTAGAATATCTTAGGACAAAATCTGAGCAAAATACCCTCAGAATCCTCTTTACCCTATGCCTTCCTCCTTTTATTTTTAACAACCGAGGAACTACAGTCATGCAGAGAAAGCCCTGCACGGCAGGAGATGACGTCTCGGTGGACGCAGTGTTCCTGACACCAGCATCAGCTCTCCTGACATGTCGCTTTTTTACTGTAGCAAAACATATGTAACATAAAAGATATGTGATATAAAAGGTACCGCCGCAACCATTTCTAAGGGCACAGCTCAGAGTCAGCACATTCACTGCTGTGTATCCCACCACCATCACCTCCAGAACTCTTCTATCTTCCCACACTGAAGGTCCGCCCCATTAAACACTCCCTACCCCTGGTCACCACGATCCTACTTTCTGTCTCCATGAATTTGACTGTTCCAGGTGCTTCCTGTCAGTGGAATCACATGATATTTGTCTTTCTGTGCCCGGCTTATCTCTCTGAGCATCATATCTTCAAGGATCATCCATGTGGTAGCGTGTGTTAGAATTTTATTCCTTTTCATGGCTGAATACTGTTCCATTGTATGTATATACATTCCACTTTTTGTTTATTTGTTCCTCTATTCATGGACATTTGGGTTTTTTCCTATCTTTTGGCCTCTGTGAACAGTGGTCCCAGGGACACTGGTGTATCGACATTTGTTTGCATCTATAATTTCTTTTGGGTACAGGCACATGTTGGAGATAATTTGGGTTCAGTTCCAGACGATTAAATAAATCAAATACCACTGGAAAGCAAGTTACATGAGTTTTTTTGTTTTCCCCTGAATACAAAAGTGATGCTTACACTGTACCATAGTCTATTAAGTGTACAACAGCATCATGTCTAAAAAAGCAGTGCCCATACCTTAATTTAAAATACTGTATCGCTAAAGAATGCTAACCATAACCTGACAATGCAGGGTTGCCACAAACCTTCAATTTGTAAAAGCACAGTATGTGCGAAGGGGAATCAAAGGAAGACAACAAAACGCTGGATTCTGATCATTAACCCCTTACCAGGTATATGATTTGCAAGTCTTTTCTCCCAAGCCTTTTCACTCTGTGAAAGTGAGTCCTTTGATGCACACAGGTTTTTCATTTTGATGAAGGCCAGTGTATGTGTTTTCCCTTTGTTGACTGCAAGTAATGATATCTCACGAGTAGGATGTGGCTGAGTCTCCTGCGGGGTCCCCTGAGCAGTCTCAAGTGATGAGCAGTTGAGAATGGTGAGAGACACACAGTGAGCGCTCTGCCAGCCAGCGGCCCGCCCGCTTCCTTGCTGGTCCAGCAGGGCCCCGCAGACAGTCCACGCAGAGGATTGTTGTGGGGGGCGGGATGCCGGCGGGCATTGAGGGGTGGGATGCCGGCAGGCACGGGAGCCATGCCCTTGCGCTACGCCTGCTCACCTGCTGTGATCCACAGCCCCTCCAGCAGCGGGCATCCCCATGAGTGCCTTCAGAACCCTTCCCCCTCTCCTGCCCGCTTGCCGCCCTGGGCCATGGCAGGGCTGCCCTAACCACCCAGCTCACAGGGCTGCAGCCCAGAGAGTCTTTCTGTGAATGCATTCGGCAAACAAACCACAAGGCACCGTCTTTACATCAGCTTTTTGAACAGTGGAGGAAAGAGCCCAGGAGAACACTCCCCAAAAGGAGCCCCTTCGCAAACCTTCACCCACAGGGATCGTGTCCTCCTCACCCTGTATCTCCAATCAGGAGCTTTCTGAGCTGGTGGAGGAAAGGCGCTGGCAGTATTGATTTCAGAATGTACCATCTGTCCGTTTGGTCATTATCAACTTTTTCCTTAGCATTTAGTGTAAAACCCAGGGAAAACGCCACGTTATATAAAGCAGAGCATATTCTGTGCTTGGCCCGTGTGCTGTAAAAGGTACCTCTAAGAACAACAGAAATAAAACAGTAACAAAAGTAGAAGGAGAACTCCTGTCCACTGGGGCCATCCAGGCTTCCCAGGTGGCTCAGTGGTAAAGAACCTGCCTGCCAATGCAGGAGACCTGGGTTTACCCCTGGGTCGGGAAGATCCCCTGGAGAAGGAAATGGCAACGCACTCCAGCGTTCTTGCCTGGGGAAGCCCATGGACAGAGCAGCCTGGCGGGCCACAGTCCAGGGGGTCACATAGAGTCAGACGTGACTGAGCGGCTCAGTACGCATGCATGGGGCCATCCTACCAAAGCCAGATAAATTTACCCAACGTGTGCCCAGAGGAAGCAGACGCAGACACAGCAGGCCCACAAACAACAGGGGATGGGGGAGCCCGCATTGGCACATGCTGGGCAGAGGGGCCTGCGTCCTATGGGGACCAGAGCCCAGGGCTTTCCCGGGCCTGCGAGTTAGACAGAACTCACTGACCACCATCCTGCACAGAAACCTAATGGAAACACACGGCAAGAGGACCCTAGGCCAGGGGCACCATGGGCAAGGTCAACTGTGAATAAAATCACACCACGGGCGGGAAATCTAGCCCCGTGAGGCTTTGAGCCGAGTGGCCACGGGGTCAGTCCTGGTCTGCGGGGGGTGGGCGTGGGGGTGCGGGTCCTATCGGTCACACGTTCTTGGAAGGGATCATGTCGGGAGCTTCCTCGAGGGCACTGGTCCCGGCTGTGGGCCTCACCGTTCACTGGGTCTCCACGTGTGCTGATGGAACCAGTAAGTGAAGGTCAAGGGGGTCAGCATGCACAGTGTCCATCCCACACTGTGATCTGGGTCTCCGAGCCTTTGGGGGATGACTTCATGCTCACGGCCATGAAGCCAAGTAAAGGACAAATGGCTCTGGGAAAGTTTAAGGACAATTACTCGTGAATGGAAGTCAGTTTTCTCTAGACCATTCTATTGCAGAGAGCATGAGGACAGGGTGATCTATTTTCTCATTTTAGGGAATATCCAGAAACACTGCACTTAGAGGGAGCCAGAGAGAGTCAGTGAGTCTCACACATACACACACACGCACAGCTTTCTGGTTGCTGAGGGTCACAAGGACAGCTGCAGGGGACACAGAGTGTGGGGTCCTGTGGGGCATCACTGTCAGGCTGTGAATGGTCCTTAAACTTGGCTCAAGGTCAGAAACTGTCGCCTGGTCCTCCTGAAAAGATGTACCCAGAGAGTCCCCGAGTCCCAGCCTGGAAGGACAGTCAGAGCCGGGCTCCTACGAGGACGGCTGGCTCCCTTTGCCAGGGGCACCACCCCTGGCCACGTCTCCAGGCCATGCCTGGCCTCTGACAAAGGTCAGGCCAGATTGGCAAGGTCTCAGTTAGTGTCCCGGTTCCTGGGGGTGGATGTAGCAGGGGCGGGGCGGGAGCAGAAGGAGGGAAGCAGAGGGAGGGGCTGCCAGCTGCCCCGCTCCCCCCACACGTGTCGGCCACTAGGAGCTTCTGGGTTGGCCATGCAGAGGGTGCCTACCCAGAGACGGTGCTGTGCTGTGGAAGAGAGTTGGGAGGACTGGAAAGTTCTGCTGGGGGCTGACCCCACCTGCCTCCTCACCTCTTCTGCCCTCTTCCAACCCCAGCAGGTCACTGATTTTTCAGCTGATGAATGCTGAGTGTCCACTTGGCCGGTCCTCAAAGAACTGCAGGAAAACCTCCAGGATACCATCAGGAAAAAAAATCACGCAAAACTAATTTGAACTTCAGGGGCTTCCCTGTTAGCTCAGTGGTAAAGACGTCACCTGCCAACGCATAAGACGCAGGAGACAGGGAGCTTTGATCCTTGGGTCGGGAAGATCCCCTGAAGAAGGAAATGGCAACCTACTGCAGTACTGTTGCCTGGGAAATGCCATGGACAGAGGAGCCTGGTGGGCTACATCCCACAGGGGTTGCAAAGAGTTGGACATGACTGAGTGACTGACCACAAGAACAGATTTGAGTCTAACAACCTGGACTGGGAATTTTGGAAAACTGAGAGGATAAAAAGTTCTAGAAACTGTAGAATATAGCTTTGTACATGCTACTTTGTTCCTCTAGCACCTGGATGCTCGGAGTGTGTCCAGCCCCATCTGGGGCTGCTGAGACCAGCAGGGCCGGCCCTCTCAACCTCCTGATCCCTCTGCAATCTGAAGACCCTCGGGGAACCAGGCGTGAGCACACATCTGAGAAGCACCGCTCCAGGACAGGCACGAGGTGTGACACGTTTTGCCAGAGTCTGCGAGGCCAGGATGACAGGCCAGGATGTGTCTGAGGAGACACAAGATGCTCCTGCTCCTCACCTGGTGCCCACAGAGGAGAAGAGGAGGGACGCCTGGAAGCAACGGCCTGTTGGCCTTGGGAGTGTCCGCGCACTTAGAGAGGACCGTAGGCTGGAACAGAGAGAGCGGGTACTTGGAGAGGCATCGTCTGAAAGATGAAGATGCCCAATGGAGTGCACTCCTTTCAGGGACGAGAGCTGGTTCAAGCCGTTCCAATGAACGTAACCATGTCTGGGGCAATAATGAAATCAAAGCTGTTGGCTCTTCAGGGAGGAAAGGGAGAATGAAATGCCAAAGCACAATGCTTTTGTGAGGGGGACAGAGGTCAAGGCCAGACGGCAACTGTGTGAAAGGAAGAAGACGCTGTGATGGAAGACCGGGCTGGGAAATAGGAATGGGAAGGAAAGAGTATGTGTCACCAAATTGGGGAGACTATATGAGACTGATTTCATTTCTGTTTCTGGAGAACCCAATGAGACCAGGTTCCAACTGGCAGCCCCTTTGGCAGGCTTAAGTAAGGACCAGCAGCCAAATACAGAAATCAAAACCATTCTCATCTCGTTGCAGTCATTTTTGAGGCACATTTTTGGGAAGAGTGACAAGGAGGCTGCTGCTGTTTCTGTTCCATGGAGGGATAAAAACAAATAACAGCCATCGGTCTAGAAGAGGGCTCTTTGCAGAGGAAGGCCCAGTGAGCAGCAGAGATTACAAACAACAGGTTCTTGAAGGATTCAATCGCAGGTTCCCAGATTTGGCCTCACCTTGGGTCCACATGTTGAGCTTTCCAAAACCCTGAAGCCTGGGTCTCACGGCTATAAATCTGGATGAAATGGATCTAGAGCCAAGGTTGACAGTCACTGGAATATGGGCATCCCCAAATGCAGTGTGCCTGGACCCAGCTGTGGGTGCTATTCAAAGGAAGAGCCTGGAGATTTGGGTTTCTAACCCCAGGACTGTAGAGTTGGAGGGAATGTCTCCCCTTCCCTAACAGTGAGAGTCAGCCTAACTTCAAAGTCACCTCTTTTCATGAACCTGCCAGGAAGTTGACCTCACAGAGCAAACCACTGTCCCAAGGCTGAAGGAGACCCAGCATTCACGGAGAGAGAGACGCCCATGTGGGGCCGCCTTGGGCAGACAGGACAAGATGCAGTCAGGGTCAGGAGGGATTCAGCCAGTGGGCCAGGGGCTGATGGGGGTCAGCGTGAGCCCTGGGGCTGCAGGCGCCAGAGAGCTACACCGCCTCACAGGTTCTTTCCCTGCTCATTCACCCAGACGCTTGTGGGAAAGGTTAGAGAGCCCCAGATTTAGCCCTTCCAGTGAAGACCCAGGGAAGAAAGCAGCAGGCACTAGGGAGCAAGGGCCAGAAGTCCACCTGAGTCTTCCCCTCCATGTCCGTCGGAGACACAGTAATACTGGTTAAGAAGTCTCAAGAGTGAATGACAGACACCGAACCACATATCCCAGAAGCACAGAAAACACTCGGCAGGATGAAGGTGAAGCAAAACAAAAGCACTCACTTAGGACCTCATATTAAACCACTGAAAGCAGGAAATAAAGAACATCCTGAAGGGAGTTAGAGAGTGACTTTTCCATGCACAGAAACCAAGGAAACCAGGAGACAATGGGATCACACCTCAAACTGCAGAGGAAGAAAAACGGTCAACCCTGAATTCTACACCCAGAGAGGATGTGTTTTAAAATGAAAGAAGTAAGACATTCTCAGGAAGGAACTAAGACTGATGGAATTCAGTGTCAGCAGATCTATTCCAACAATAAAAATGATAAAGCAGTATCAGACAAAATCTGGATCTGCACAAAGAAGTGAAAAAGTTCTGGAGCAAAATGCATGAAGGCAAACTGAAATTCATCAACCCAGCGGACATGAGCTTGAGCAAACTGCGAGAGCTGGTGAAGGACAGGGGAGCCTGGCGTGCTGCAGTCCATGAGGTCTCAAAGGGTCAGGCATGACTCAGTGACTAAGCAACAACAACCGACTGAAATTCCTTTTTAACGTCCTCTGAAAGGTAAACTTTGGAGTCTGGAGTGAAGGTGGGAGAGCTCCATCCAGTTGGTCAAATCTGACCCACTCCTGTTTTTGTTTTACTAGAAAGCAGCTAAACCCATTCATCTGCACATAATACAGACAGGTTTTCATGCTGTGGTTGGAGAACTGAGTAGTTTCAGTAGATATGATGGTGCCGGTAAAGCCTAAAAGACTTACTATCTGGGCCTTTAAAGAAAACCTTTGCTGATGCCAGGTGTAAAGAAAAAACAGTAGGATTGTATCTTGTGTGTGTAGGGTCTGTAAAAGTGGAGTTATGACAAAAAGCACATAGGAAGAGAGAGGAATTGGTAATATACTGTTGTAAGGGCCTTACACACCACAAAATGGGTATAAAGTTATTTTAGCACAGACTCAATCCTTAAATACATATTTGATATTTATATACATATTTTAGACTGTGGGGCAACTACTAAAATTTTTCCTAAGATGTATAAACTATTGGGGGCTTCCCTAGTAGCTCAGTTGGTAAAGAATCTGCCTGCAATGCAGGAGACCCCAGTTCGATTTCTGGGTCGGGAAAATCCCCTGGAGAAGGGACAGGCTACCCACTCCAGTATTCCTGGGCTTCCCTGTGGCTCAGATGGTAAAGAATCTGCCTGCAATGTGGGAGACCTGGGTCCCATCCCTGGGTTGGGAAGCTCCCCTGGAGAAGAGAATGGCTCCCCACTCCAGTGTTCCGGCCTGGAGAATTCTATGGACTGCATAGTTCATGAGGTCGCAAAGAGTCGGACAAGACGGAGCGAATTTCACTTTCACTTTATAAGCTATTGGTCAAGTCAGGAGATTAAATGGACTCATACAAAATTCCCAAATAACCCAAAAGAACTCAGGAAAGGAAGAAGAAGAAGGACATACAGATAGAAAAAGTAGAAAGAAGCAAATAGAACCCAGTGGCATATAAGCACAATAATACCACACAGCTATTCAGGGTTCATTCCAAGAATTCAAGGACAGTTCAACATTCAAAAGTAAACTCACACAGTTTCTCATATTAAGGCACTAAAAATGAAAAATTATATGATCATCTTAATAGATGCCAAAAAAGCATCTCCACAAAAACTCCTAAAATTAGTAAGTGAATAGAGCAAGGTCCCAGGATGCAGTGCATTCCCGTGTAACAGCTGAGGAGTATGGACCCTGGCCCAAAACCTAGATGTAATCTCTGAGTAATCTCGCAGGCCCATCCACAGCGGTCACAAAGATTCTACTGGGCAGACTTTGCAGGGGCCATGCCCTCCATCCCACACCTGGGACACAGCCCAGGCACCACAATCTCTAAGGGGAGTTGCACCAAGGCCACAGGCCCCTGCATGTCCATGTTCCCAGAACGGACATCCCTGTTTGGGGGCCTGTCTACCTGGGGCCTTCCTCAGGTGCTGCTGTTGAGATCTCCTTGTTGGGAGGAGGAGAGACTCTCTAAGACACTTTGCTCTGACTCAGTACCCAGTGCTTTAAAATTCCTAGCCCTTCCCCCTCTGCCTCCCGCAAGCCCTGGGTCCAAAAACATATGAGAGCCTTTCGTTTGGGGCTGCCTCAGCAGTGAGATGACATGATGCCTGCTCTGGTCGGCCAGACCCCAGCTGGTGCCAACCTATGTGCAAGATGGAATGTGGGCACTGGGGCCTCATCTGGCCCAGTCTCCTGCTCCCCCTTCGTGGTAGGTGAAGGGGGGCTGGATGTAGCTTATTTCCTTAATCGGCTGCTCTGACATCTGGCAGTTCAGCCTACAGCCCAGCTGAGCTCTTGAATATGAACAATTAGAAATTGAAAAATTAATACCAAACTATAAAGTACGTAAGTACAAAGCTGACAAAGTATGTGCAGGGTCTGTATACTATAAAGAACAAAATGCCGGGAGAAGAGGTCAAGGAAGGTACAAATAAAGGGAGAGACGTCCTGTGTGCATGAGACAGCAGGCTCCCTGTGCTGAGATGTCCGTCCGCTAGAATCCGATCCATGATAATCTCAATCAAAATCTCACCAGGGCTTTCTGCAGATGTCTACAAACGGGTTCTAAATTTCTACAGAAGGCAAAGGAACTGGAATTGCCAAGACAGAGCCGACTGGCAGCCCTCATGTTACTCAGATTCACGCGTGTAATCCTGACAGTGGTGGAAAGAACGGGCACGGATCAGCGGGCCAGGAGAAAGTTCAGAAACAGACCCGCAAAAACGTAGTCAACTGATCTGGGGCAAAATGGCAACATCAATTCGACGGAGAAAGGATTTTCTAAAAAACTAGAAACATCATATCGACCTATGTAAATAAATGAATAAATAAATAAGCCCTAATGTATACTTCACCCTTTATCCAAAAATTCAACTCAAAGCAGCTCATATGCTTAAATATAAAATATAAAGTTATAAAACTTTTATGGAAAAAAACCTGTTTGACCCTGGGTTTGGTGATGTGATTCCACTTGCTCAGCTGCCCAGTCATGTCTGACTCTCTGACTCCACGGACTGCAGCATGCCAGGCTTCCCTGTGTTTCACCATCTTCTGGGGTTTGCTCAAACTCATATCCACTGACTGTGATTCTAGATATAACACCAAAAGCATGGTCCAAAAATTTCTGATAAATTTTACTTTATCAAAGTAAAAACTTATCTTCTGTGAAAAATACTGTTAGAAGGAGGAAAGGCCACAGACCTGGTAGAAAATACTTGTAAATCAATATCTCAGCAAGAAAACTTCTATCTAGACTATATAAAGAACATTTAAAACTCAACAACAACAAAAAGGAACAACCCAATAAACAAGTGACAAAATATCTGATCAGATACTTTACCAAAGAAGATATATTGATGGCTCATAGGCTCTGGCTTATTGAAAGGTGCTCAACATCACGAGTCATTAAGGAAATGAAAATTCAAACCACAAGATGCCAAGCATCACACACCAGTTAGAAAGGTTAAGATGAAAAACAAATGAATAACATTTTTAAAAGGGGCAATACCAAATGTTGGCCAAGATGCAGAGAAACAGATCTTCTTGTTTATTACTGGTGGGGACACGTCCACTTTCTAAAAACAGGTTGGTAGTTTCTCACGAAGTTAAACGTAATTGCACCATAAGACCCACCAATCCCATGTGTGCATGCTAAGTCACTTCAGCCATGTCTGACTCTTTGCAATCAGATGTACTATAATGTACATATACTAAATTTAGTACTAATGTACTAAATGTACCATAGCCCACCTGGCTCCTCTGTCCGTGGGATTCCCCAGGCAAGAATACTGGACTGGATTGCTGTTTGCGTCTCTGGGGGAATCTCCCTGACCCAGGGATCGAACCCATGCTCTTAGGTCTCCTGTATCGGCAGGCAGGTTCCTCGCGACTAGTGCAAGCTGGGAAGCCCTATGTTCCCACAGTCAATAAAAACATAGACAAAAAGCCCCAACCCCCCACAGCTGTGTGTGAGTTTATAGCAGCTTTGCAGAAATGCTCAGAGCAGTAATAGTAAGGATCAAATGGCTACTGATTCATGCTGCAAACGGACAGATCTTGAGTCAGTTTTTACCAAGTTAAAGAAGTTCATCTCCAAAGGCTACTGTATTGCAAGATTCTACTACCAGACATTCTGAAAAAGGCAAAACAGAAGTATGAACAGCTGGCCAGGTTGCCAAGACTGCCCTGGCCAGGAGGGAGGCTGGGGGCAGGTTCCCTTAGCATTCTCCCTGGGCAGGCGGTGCACCTTCTAGGAGAAACCCCCGCACCAACCCCCCTCCTGGGCCAGCATGGTCCTGGATGCTCTGGTACCTAGGCAAGGCCATCACAGTTCTTGGCAAAGCACCAATCAAAAGGCTGCTGTCTTATTTTTTATCAGGACTGACCTAGGAACCCACACCCACTCTGGGGTAATCTTGCTAGCAAAACTATGCCCTCAGATTGTCGAAAGCTTATATTTTACCAACGTTGTCTTAACACAGGCTGCTTATTTGTCTCTGCATGCTAAATCTTTAATTATTCACTAGGCTTGTTCTTCTTCAATAAAATGGCACCATTTCAGGAAGACAAGAGACGCACCATGACATTCTGTCTTTCCATGGTGTTGGAAGCTAAATGAGGGAAACAGCTGTTCTTTCTAACTTTCACTTATCTTTCAAGATTCAAGCTGTCACTTTTTCACTTTTATGTTTGTAAATACACTCATTTTATTATATAATTTTACTCACAATTACAGGGCCTGGGTGTTATGATACAAACGTACCCACAGCTACAAAGGTGATTTGATTTTTTTTTTTTAATCCAGTTTTTGGAGGCTAAATTAATGAGGGAAATAGTTATTCTTCCTGACTAATTCTCACTTATCTTTCAGGATTCAAATGACCACTTCTTCCAGGCTGAGGTTTCTGACTGCCCAGGTCAATCCAGGGGTCTTAGCTCCAGGGGTCCACAGCCACTCTCCCTGCCCCAGGAAATACTGGCCATGTTTGTGTGTACCTGTTCCGTGATCACCTTTCCTCCTACGGGGTAAGCTCCACAGAGATGGGGACCAACCCTCCCAGGGCCTGGACCACGGTGAGCCAATCAGAGTGCGCTTAGGTCAAGACAGCCCGAAGTCTGGGCCTGCATCTCATTCACAAGGTGTCCATGCAGCCTGGCAGAGGGCCTGGCACGCAGCAGGTGCTCACTGAATGCCTGTCAGCTGAAAGAACCTGTGAGTGGTGAGGATGGAGAGGCGAATGGACACATGAAGAAAAGTCAGGGCGCAGACCATGCACCTCTGAGAAAACTCTAACCCTGATCTGTGTAATCTAAACTCTAATCTGTCTGATTCTGCCATCATCTCCCACCTGCTGCCTGTCTGACGGCCCCACCTGGAGTTACATGGGGATATGCCCAGATAGACCAAAGCATTCACCTTGCGGTTGAGAGAAGGAAATGGCAACCCACTCCAGAATTCTAGTCTGGAAAATTCCATGGACAGAGGAGCCTGGCAGGCTACAGTCCTTGGGGTCATAAAGAATCAGACACGCCTGAGCCACAGAGCACGCTCCATGCAGTTATGGAATTGCTGAGCAGAAAAAAGTCTACCCTAAGCCCTGGTCCTAAGAACAGAAGTAATAAAATAGCTCTCATTAAGCAAAGAACAACTGCTTACGGAGTCATTAAACAAACAGGCAAGGGTTCTGGACCTTTAGTTCCACAGAGATGTAGCCAAGCTGAGCCAAGAAGGACAGGTGGGTTTTTGCACCGTGCTTCTCAGATACTTTCCATGGAAGAGAGGTGCGGAATTCCAGGTGCCCCGGTCTCAGGGCACAACCTGCTCACCCCGAGCTCCAGGTGAGACACTGGCTTCGAAGGATGTCCACGTGGTTACCGGGCTTTAACTGTGGGATTATGTGATCATTCAGATTCCAATCCGATTTCAGTGCATGTGAATATTCTTACAAACCTGACCATCAAGCTAGGCCTTTCCAGTGCATCGAATGACACGCGATTTTGCTGAGATGTCCCAGGACTGTGCCTGCCTGGCGCCGGGAGCCCACCCCTCCCTCCTCACTCAACTGCACCAGCGTCAGCAGGAAAGCATGGCCGCAGTCACCCAGCAGCTGGGTGGTGCGAATGAATAACATAGATGCGGGTTATTGTCATCCTCGAGGAAATCTTGCGTTGCCCCATTCAAAAGGGAGAAAAATACGTGAAAAGTATGAAAGTGAGACGCAGCAGATGTTACCCTGGAGTTGTCAATCTCATCTACGCAGGTGCTAATGTGTTATAATTATCCCTTCTGGCAGTTGATGTTTAGGATCCTGGTTCCCACCTAGTCAATCACGGCTGCGATTGTTAAGCTACTCACATCGCTAATACGCTGGGTAATAACCAGATAGGGTTTAATATTTGACATTTGCCGTCAATTTCTTCTGACGTGTGTCTCCTCTACACCAGGATCTGTACATTGGGCTCTCTCCTGACTTCTGCATAAAATGCACAGAAGTGCAGGGAAGAGAAGGGAAATCAATTTAAAAAAAAAAAAACAGCTGTGTGTGTCTCTACCTCGATTTGCCATCATGAGTCTCTTGGCAAGGAGCAGAGCCCCTGCTCCACTGGAAGTGACGCAAGGCCATCGACAGCACGTGCTACTAGGATTATTCTAAAAGATGTTCTCGAGCTCCCTCGCCATGGGGGAGGGATCGCCTTTATTTTTGCCACACAAGCGGGGTGGCCGGGGTGTGGAAGGCTCACAACGGCCTGCCAGCAAGAGGGTCGGTCAGGGGACAGTTTGCAGACAGTGCCCGCCAGGTCTCTGCCCCAGGATCTTCCTCCTCCACACGGGCTTTTAGGTTTCAATCCAGACGTTTACGTGGGGTTGAGGGCGCCCCAGTAAGGCTGACATCACCTCTCAGCTCCCTATCAACCTTTCCCCATCATGTTTTGTCTTGAAGTCCTGCTCTCCTCCACTGCTTGGAACTCTGCTTGCAGGTAAGCCAACATGTAGCGGCACTTTTTCCTGAGGATGAGTGAAGCTAATGGTAAAGGATCTGCCTGCCAGTGTAGGAGACACAGAGACGCGGGTTGCATCCCTGGGTCGGGAAGCTCCCCTGGAGGAGGAAATGGCAGTCCACTCCAGTGTTCTTGCCTGGGAAATCCCACGGACAGAGGAGCCTGATGGGCTATGGCCCATGCAGTCGCACAGAGTCGGACATGACTCAGCGCCTGATCACAGCCTTTTTCCTGAGGATGAATTTATTGATTCCTCCAAGGACTGTACAACTTTCCTATGTGTTCACTGCATATGTACATATGTCAGATGGGGGTGGATATTGAAGATTTTCTTTCAAATCAATTTAATGGAAGGTAAATATCCACAACCCTTCAGTCAGGTATGCTCCCCTAATAAGTAGAATTTACATTGTCATCTTTTTCAGACATTTTGGCAATAAACCAACTAGTAAGATGTACCACAGGAGTGACAACCACATACTCTCTTGAAAACTATACTTTTATGAGTTATTAAATGCCCCTGATACCCTGCAGAAGAGAGAGGCTCGTTTCAAGAGGATTCTGCTCCGAGTTTAAATTGGAAAGGACATGGAGATCTGACTGCAGAAGAAAGAGGCTCGTTTCAAGAGGATTCTGCTCCGAGTTTAAATTGGAAAGGGCGTGGAGATCTGACAGCCAAGGGGCATTAAGACTTCAAAGCAGATGAAGCCGGACCCGGTCACTTTGCAATAAAATGTGAAGTCGTGTAACAGCGCCCTTTTAAGCCACTTGGGACTTTTTAAGACTTCAAACAAAACGCTATTAGCACAGACAGATAAACAATCTAAGCTGCTACTTGCCTGGGGTGATACCCTTGTGATTTACAATGGGCAAAGAAAATACGGCAGGCCCCACGATGAGAAAGACTCACACACTGCGGAAAACCCTCCTCTGGGCCGCTCCTGGCCCTTCATACCTCCTCAGCCCCTCACCCCGCCCCGCCCCGTGTGCCCAAAGCAGCTCCTGGTTTCAAACGAGTGGCACAAACGGACTTAAGCAAGCACTGAGCATGAGGAAGTCTCTCACTGGTTTCAGCTGAGCAAGAGAAGACTAAACACCGCGTCTTTGTTTTTGCTTAAAGTAGCAAGTGACGTCACCCATGGAGAGTCACAGAAGCCCGCTTTTCAGGTGCCGGAAGGACCTGGCTGAAACCAGGGCCACGGCCCCGGGGAACGTCCTCTCATTTCTGAAGGGCCTGGCCCCACCTGCATCGCTGAGCACGCCCCAAAGATGCTCCAAGTGAGGCCGTCAGGAGGGTTGGACCCGGGGGGACAGCGGATCCCTGGGCCCCATGGCCTTGCTGCTCTTTGGGACATCCACTCCAGGACACCCCAGGACGAGGGGGCGGCGGGGGCACCTGGCTCTCGAGAGATGCCCTGAAACCGCATCTTTTCCCGCATTTCCCTGCTCCGACCTCCGGCTCTCAACATCCTCGGGCCCTAGCAGGAGAGCCCGAGGGGAAAGCACCCCCCCCAAAATCAGCCCCCGCGACCACCAGAAGCCGGGCGAGACCACCCCGAGACCTGGAGGCGGCTCCCGGTGCACGGCAGGGGCGCATCCACTCGGCTGGACGCGGGTCTCCGGTTCCAGCCGGCGAGGCCGGGCGCGCGGCGTCCTCACAGAGCCCGGGGACCCCCCCCCCCTCCCCGTGTGCTCTTCTGCCCGGGCCGCTGCTGCGTTGCCGGGAGCCAGTGTAAGAAGCGCCGGGCGCTCCTAGCAGAGGCTCCGAAAGCCGATGCGTTGAGGTTCCCTGCGCAGCGGTCACCCGAGAGGTGGAGGGCCCGCGCACTGACACGTGGGTCGCCCGCCACGGACCAGATGCTGTTCTCTTTCTGTGTCTCCTGGGCTCGTTTCCCGAGTCGGAGAAGTCGAATCCGGGGCCGAGGCAACTGCCCCAGTCACCAGCAGACAAGTAGAAATAAAATAACACACAACAGCAGCCACTATTTAGGATTAAGCCAGTAAGGCTATTGTCCCTTTAAATTGAAAAACAGAAAGCAAAATATTCTGTGAGTTCCACGGGAAAAAAAAAAAAAAGTCGCATTTGTATAGACCCCAAATCCCCTCTGTTTAAACAGGGTGATTAATATCAGCTCCTGTAGGAAATTAAATTCGGGGAAGAACGGTAATATGCAGATATGCAGATTTCTGGGCAGGATGGCCATCTCTGGGTAGGGAGCCGGCTGATTAATCTGCGTCCTCGGAATACAAAATGAAACACGGGGCTCCCCTGGGCGAGCGAGAGAAATGACTTTGCCCCTGCGGAAGCGGGGGTCGGGGGGAGGACTCGGCGCCAAAGGCACAGGGCCTGGGCCGCGTGCGGAGGGCGAGGCTGTGGGAGCCCGCGTCGCGGAGCCTGACCGCCGCGTCGCGGAGCCTGACCGCCGCGTCGCGGAGCCTGACCGCCGCGTCGCGGAGCCTGACCGCCGCGTCGCGGAGCCTGACCGCCGCGTCGCGGAGCCTGACCGCCGCGTCGCGGAGCCTGACCGCCGCGTCGCGGAGCCTGACTGCTTCCTCCCAGGCCTCCGGCCGCGTGCTCTCTGGAAAGTTCTCCCTCCGCGGTTTCTGAGGCCGGGTGATGGATCTTGGTGCTCACCCACGGCCCTCCTCCGCGGCTTCTGAGAAGGGTGCCCGGCCTCCCACTTCAGCGGGACCACACGCGCCCAGCTACACGAAACCAGGACACCCCCGCCCACCGGGGTATTTTCTTTTTCTTTCTCAACGACTGAGTGGGATAGACAAATTTTTTAATTTAACGTATATCACCAGAAACCTAATTTGAAAATATAAATGACTCTCACAACCCAACCCTCTCATCATTTCAAAATGTCAACATGGTCATCGCATCAGGTCTGGCCTGAGGATGAGATTTTTGATCACTGAATAATGATGCCATTTATTTTTTTCCTGAAAAAAATATTTACAGCAAGATGCAAAATGTCATTTTCAGTGGGATTTTTTTTTTGTCGTTCCTGGAAACTCAAGCCTGTTATTCTGAACCATTCAGGGTGTCTCCGATAATTGTATAGAAGTAGGGATTATGCTATATTATTAAAGCTGTAATTTCCTGCCGAATCTGTCTGGATGTTTCTTTTTATCACTTGGCAATTTCTATCTAGTTATAGCATAATTAAGTTTCCTGACCCTTGCTCACTCTCTTAACAAGACGCTTAGAAATACACTAGAATTGCAGACCTGCGGGCCCGTGTCCCCGCTCCCCGCACGGTAATGGGATAAAATTATTAATCCAGTAATTGTACGGAACGCATTACTTTGCATTGAATGTCCCGGCTTCTCATTTTCCGTCAGGGACAATCAGCCCAGGGGTACGAATCATTTCAGCGGGATCGCGGCCCTGGAAGAAAGCCTCTCGTTCCCGCTCCTGGAGCTCTGGGCAGCTGTGATTATCCGAGGCCTAATGCAGGGCTCGGCTCCAGCCAGCAGAACAAAGTTAATATAACAGACGAAAGAGCAAGGTATTTCCAGCTGCGGTTCATGCGCCAGAGCCAGAACCGGCTGACAGGTGGTAAAGGACACGTGCGCCCTGGTCTCAGAAGGTCCACGCCTGCTGGCTCATCTACGAGTCCTTCTGCCAGAAGCCAGGGGCCATTTGGGCTTCGTCCTGCGAGGCTCCGCGTGGGGAGGTCCGTAAGTCGTGGCCCACGGGGAGGTGGGCCCAGGGCTGCTAGGGTGGGGCAGAGGATGCAGAGGGCTGCCTTCAGACCTGGGGCCGTGCCCTGGCACCCCCAAACGCCCCCAGCCGGGCATAACCCACACTCCTGGAGCCCTAAGCCGCTGCTCGCCTGTGCACCGAGGAGGGGGGGTGGCCCGCACGTCCCCATCCTCATGGAGACAGTGAGATTCAACTCTGAAGCAGTAGCAGCATCTCAGGCAAAACTGCAAAATGACCTGTGCCTGTTCGCGTACAGAATGTGTCACTGCGCGGCGACAATTTAATACACATGCTCTGTGAGGCTTACACTCTACATGGGCTGCGTGTCACAACCAGTGTACACACTGCGTGCATGCTCAGCCACTCAGTCCTGTCCGACTCTCTGTGACCCCGTGGACTGTAGCCCGCCAGGCTCCTCTGTCTGTGGGATTCTCCAGGCAAGATTACTGGAGTGGGCTGCCATTTGCTTCTCCAGGGGATCTTCCCCACCCAGGGATTGAACCCACATCTCCTGCATTGGCAGGCAGATTACCACTAGCACCACTGCAAACAGCCCTTGTTTCAAACCATGTCAGTGTCCTTCCTGGCATCCTGGGCACTGCCTTTTCCGTCCCCTCTGGGGTAAACATCAACGCCAGAGTGTGGAGCTCACCTGAGCTTTTCCAAAACAGACCAGCCAGATTATAGACTAAGCCTTGTAATTTCCTTTTGCATCTGGATGGAGGACGCGTGTGGTTTTCACTTCGCTGAAGTTGAGTGTAGTAGATAATGTGTGTGTGCTAAGTCGCTTCAGTCATATCCCACTATGTGCCTGCCAGGCTCCTCTGTCCACGGGATTCTCCAGGCAAGAATCCTGGAGTGGGTTGTCATTTCCTGCTCCAGGGAGTGTACACACTAGTAGCCAGTTAATATGTGTGCAGTTTAAAAGTTAACTGACCATAGGTCAACTTGCACCCATATCCTGAAGTGGCTGTTCCAACATGTGGTCTGCATGCTACAAAAATACCTCCACTCATCTCCTCTGAACCACCAGGCACAGGAGGAAATGCAGAAATCCTGGGGAAGGCTTCTCGGAGCTAGAGGTGTTGGTTTCAGGTCAGCTCTGTGCTAACTGTATGGGTTTAAATCAGTTGTTCTCAACTAGGGGTGGCTTTACCCCGGGGGACACTTGGCAGCGTCTGGGGACAAGTTTTGTCACACGGGGTGGGGGGGGGGGGCTGCTGTTGGCGGGCAGCAGAAGCTGGCATCCTGCAACACACAGGACAGGCCTGCCCTCAGCTAGAGCTACTCGTTACGAATGTCCAAGGAACTAAGCCCTGCAAACCCTGGTTTAAATGGACAAATATTAGTTGCAAGGAAAAAACCACAGCCTGAAAGCCTTGTGCTCCATCAGCACCAGATGCAGCTGAAGTGATAAACTTTTCCTCCCTGCCCTTCCCAGCTCCTGAAATGTAAATGTAAATGAAAAGAGCAGAGCAGGATTTTTTTTCAACTATACAGTTTTTTCTTTCTCAGCTGAAAGAGAAACTGTCAAAGGAGGCAAGGAGGACCCAGGGACTTCTTTTTCCTCCATCCTGATTCTACTAGAAACAGGAAATCAAGAGCAGAACGCCCGTTTTCCTTCTGTGGATGCAAATCACACTGTGGAAGTTACACCTCACGTGAGCTGTCAGCCTGCCCACGTGCAGAGATGGGTAAGACTGCGCTAAGACTGTGTAAGGGTATGAAACACAGACGTGGGCTGACGCTGGTGGTTGTTCATGTGCGTGGGAGACTCACAGGTCAGACACCATGACGGTCATCGTGTGGGTGTGTGCAGAGACACAGCGCCTCCTTTAAGCAATTTTTCCCACGGAGATGTCAAAATTTCCTTTAGGTTTCGAATGTTAGAGCCTCTGTCCCCAAAGAAATTATGTCAGTAAAGGTGGTTTAATAACTGGCCCCCCACATCAGATGTCTTGCTTCTTAATTTTTGAGAGCAAATTGTGCGTCACTTTTGTTTCACAGCAGCCTGTGAACGCCTCCTCTGAAAAGCCACACACGGGACCTCTTTGGCTGATCAGAGCTGCTTTATTCCAGAATTCAGCCGGGAGTGAGACGTTCCCAGACCTCCCTCGCGCCGCCTCTGAATCAGCACCTAATAAACATGCGTTTGGGGGAGAAGGCTGATGGGAGGGCCATCGCTTAAGTTCCTATTGTTTCATTGATAAAAATGATCCAGGAAGCGGCAGAATATGTTAACCGTTTCCTTTGGTTTTCCATCGAGAGGGCTGAAAGACATTTCTAAAATAGATCTATTTTCTTTTCATTCCGCAGAATAATGCATGAATGATTATAACATATGCTCTATCTCCCGGGTTTTTTTCCCCCCCTCAACCAGTGGAAAAGTGCCTGACACTGTAATCACAACTTGTTGGGTTTTCAATCTGATGCTGTCCCGTTTTATCATGGTAGTTAAACGTCCATTCTTGTTCGGTGTGATAAATGTTATGGCCGTGTAACAGTAACGAAAAAGAGAGACATGTTAAACCAAATATTGCTTCAGATTGTGTCTTTTATTCTCCTTTATCATCATATCTTAATTTATAGTATAATCATCATTATCGCAACTGTCAGCCTCATTTAACCCCGCTGATCTCCCATGATTCTCCGCTGTCAGGTCTGATTGCCCACCTTCTGCCGACGGGCTGATAATGCCTGACAGATTAACCCTCCCCGAGAGGAAGACAATGATATATAGGACAGCGCAGAGCGCGCTATATATTAATGAGGAGCTGGCAAGGCTTTGATAAGGCTGCGGAATAATCCATCAGTGGGGAAGGAGCTTGTAAAACGGGAGCAACGTTTCATGGGAAAAACACCTGGGAAGGGTGTAACGACCCAGCAGCTAAACGCCTGTCAGCTGCCTCTCCCCTCGGTGGTAATTAACATCAGATAGCGCGCGCGGCTGCCCCAGGAGTTTATCAGCCCCCGGACCCGGCCTCCCTCGCTGCGCGCCGTGCCTGCCGCCGCTCCCGCGTTTACAGCATATTTAGCAAGCCAGCAATTAACAGCTCGCGTCCTCGGGCGCTAGAAACTGCTTGTCTTCTTCTGAAGGCGGCCTCGGCGCAGGCTGCTGCCTGGGAAAGGCAGGGGCCGCCGGCGCTCTCCGCCGCACTCACGCCGCGGAGGCCCGCTCCGCCATTAGATACAATGCCGCGGATGGCTACTTGAGCTTGAATGCGCGTTATTACAGGTATTACATGAAATTGCCTCTGTTATGTGAAGGGGATTATAGAGGTTCTGGATCAATAACTTCAGTGGATGTTGGGAGTGATTACAGCGCCCTGTCAATTTTCCCCATTTCGCTGTCAGTGTCCATTTGCCACACACCACCTCTTGTATTCACATCAAAGCACTCATTTCATTGGTAAATTCTGTATATCTCAATTTACTTTAAGTACCTGATTTGTGTAAAATAAAATGACTTCCTCTTCTGTGTGGGCAACAGACCTAATCCTATATAGTAATAAAAAGCGTAAACACAGGGAGACCCTCTGTCCCTTGGGAAGCCTCGTGCGGAGCGCGGGGGCTGCCTGCTCCCTGAAATAGCTATAATTGAAACATCTCCATCACCCCGGCTTTGTTGAGACCACACCTAGCCTCTTCATCTCTCCTTATTTTTCCATCGTGGGGAGGAATCTTGGAGCGGCCGGATCTCGAGCACCCGGACTCCGGAAGCAGCTGTGTTCCCCTGCACCCACGCGCCCGGCTGCGCTCACCCTCTCTGTGAGAGGGCAGGCCCGCGCGCCCCGGTGCAGACTCGGCGCCCACCTTCAAACTCTGGGACCACAAATGCTGTCCTGAGAGAGTCGTCTTCCACCGGTCGGCAGGCTCCTGCTAGGTGCAGGCTGCCTGAGCCTCCCTTCTCTGCATTTTCTTTTTCCTTTTTCGTGTGTGTAAGCAATGCACCCAGGCGTCTTTGACGAAGCGTAACATCAAAACTTAGAAGTCCAGAGGCATTCAGTGATGGGAAGCGTCAAAGAGACCCAGGAGCCGTTTGGGGAGGAGGTCTACATTTCCTGTATCAATAGAACTCACTACAGGTGTTCAGACCACAGGAGAGATGGGGAAACTCAGGGATATTACTCCACACACCTCAGCGTGCAAGGGTAACACTTCACTTGGGAGTTGTCTTTTGGACCTTAACTCGACAGGTCTTATCAGTGTTTCCTACTATTTCTGACCTAAAAGAGGCCCTTAGAGAGCTGTGTACTGGCCACAAATAAATAAGGAGCACATAAAGTATTTACAAAATCCTCAAAGTGACCACCCCCCCCCCAAAGAAAGCCTCCCCAACAACTGTCTAAGCTTCCAACAGACAAATGGATCAACTACTAGATTCGCCAACCTGTGAATGGGCAGTTTCTGGTCCTGAAGCGATTCAAAGAACAGCAGAGAGAAGGAAATGCTTGTTTACTGTCTGTCCTGGCATACAAGACCCTTTGCATAAAATATACAGACTAACCCTGCATCTGTTCATTCACTTCTGTATATTTTTTTATATATTCTGCACAAGTAACAAAGCAAGGAGGAAATATAAGACTCTATTAAAAATATAATGAGTAAAAAGAAAATCTGCATAAACTGTGTCCTTATTTTCTGAAAAGCCTTTATTATTTAAGAGGCAACTGAAATAAAAGATCTTCCAAATCTGCCATCCCTTGGCTCCTTCCAAGTCAGAACCTTCCTGCTAGGTGCCCGTTTCCCACGTTACGCGTGTCTCCCTGGTACAGGTATAGCGAAACAGGGGGTAGCATGCAAGAGCAGGTCAATCGACGTAGGAGGACAGTCCCCTCAACGCCAGTGTTAGCAAAGCAGGATGGGGGTGGACAAAGGGGAGAGGGGCAGGTAAGACCCCCAGAGGGATGCCCACGCCTTGGCCCCACGGCACAGGGCATTGCCCTGGCTCACCGGCCTTCCTGCCTCCCTCCATCCCAAGGTTTCGGGGTCACTGTGGTTCCCTGTCCCCTCTCACTGGTGCTAGCGAGCCTGCCCGTCTACCAGGCTCTTCGTTAGTCACCTCCCGTGCTCAGACCACTAAGAAGAGAAGCCCCAGCTCAGGTCCATAGGGAACAAGATCCTGGTCCAAGTGACTTGCTTTGATGCTTCCATGGAGGCTGGAATCCCAACCCCTCATCCCCACAAATCAAAAATGGTTTCCATTCAGACATGCACGCTAGCAGCTAGTGACGATTCAATTCAAGCCACAGGCAATACTTTAAGCAAGGCAGGATGTCACGAACTGGGAATGCGGACCCGGGCTAGGAGTGGAAGGATACCACAGGCATTTAAAAATATTATCCTTGCCATCGTGCCGGGAGAGATGAGACATAAAGCAGCAGAAAACGAATTTACAGTGAGATTCAGAGAATACCATGGCACTACCGTAGTAAGAAATATTACAGGACTCAATCGTCTTGACTGTTGAGTTAGCTTTACAGGCAATAAGTGTTATGAATCAAGTAGAAAAAGCTCACTTTTAGCTGAAGTGATCAAGGAAAGAGCCAGTGAGATCTGAATAGAATTTGGCTCGCGAGGAAAACCACGACAGTCTTGGTATTCCTGAGCATGTATAAACCCATGCAATCACTCTTAAACGAGCTCAGGATTTGACTGAAAATTCTAGCGTGAATCTGGCATTCAGGCTGATAAACGACAAGCTACGGTTTGGAAAACTCTAGTTTCAAAGGAGCAATAACTCAGTTTTAAATAGCAATTTATAAAAGACGTCAGCCTTTAATATATAAACCCCTAGAGTTATGTCTGACATTACACAAAGGACATACATACTGCATAACCATTTTCGAACAATAACAGAAAATTCAAATGAAGAATTTATATGCATCTCCGAAGCAGCCACCCAAATTCACTTAGGAAAACAATGCACTTTGACAAAGTTACAGAAAATACTAATTTACTAATAGTCGATCAAAATCCAATTACAATTTTAATAACAAGTGCAAAACAAAGGGGATATCCAGAAGGTTGGTGTCTGGTGAAATATCAAGGTGAAAATGCGCAGAATGAGCCATGAGTCCAAAGTTACCCTTCGCCCACTAGTCTACACTAAATAAAGCAGAGGCGTCAGGAGAAGAATCTGAGCCACACACATATTAACGGCGTAACGCGTGGCTGGAAAAAAGCAGCCCTCACAATTCATGGGATTTTCCTATCCTGATTGGTCAGAGAGAACTGGAAGAGAAAAGGAATACGTAACAAGCCCAGTCTTCCCCGGTCGGAATACTTTCCACTCCATTATTGTGAGTGGTGTGTTAATCAGGGACAGAACCCACACACACAGCCCGCGTCTCTCTCTATGACTCTTGGTTACCAGACAGCCCCTTAAAGAGGCGATCCCAAGAGATGCGCTTGCCTTCGCTCAGGACACTCTAACAGCAGGAGTGGGTCTGAACACACAGTAGGCACTAAATGCACATGCCTGGACAACTGAATGAATGAGTGAAGAATGATATCATTCAGAGGATAAAGGACAGTGTGAATCGGCGGGGTGGAGCTCTATGAACCCCCTGATACTTGTGTTTTTCAAAACCAAAGCTAATTTCATGACCATTAGTAAATTACTAATGGTATATCTTTGGGCTCTGCATTCTCTTTAAATAGAAGTTGAATCTTGACTGGGAAGCCTCTATCCATTTGCATGTAATTTTTGTTCGGAGAGAAATCAGTGTGACTTAGATTGAAATATGGCAGGCTCGTTAAAAGAAGGATATTGCCTTCTGCGGCGTGTTGTTGGTGCCACTTGAATCCTGAGTTTCCGATGGCTGAAAATCCTAGCCGTGTCAGGGCGAAGTCGGGCAGAAAGAAGCCACACTGACCGTGGGAATCACTGGCCTGGGTGGGGACCCCAGGGACGACTCTGCCACGCTCCCTTGGGTGTGACCTTTCTTCGGGTTACTGCTGTTTTTGATTTGCCAGAACAGAGGGTGCAGAAAGGCTACTGTGTGTGTGGGTGTGCTCACAAGGTCCTCACCCCGGCCTGGGTCTAACAGGAAAGACATCACATACAGGGGAGGGTGGGCGGGCAAACCCAGCCTGCTAGGCATTTGGATGTAAAATAAATAAAACCACAGAACAGCAGTCAGGGGGTAGATTGAAAAAGAAAGCATTTCTTTCTTTTTTCCTTCTTAATGCTGCTTCTTGTTAACACATATCCATTGTTATTCATTTGGTTGCTACTTTTAAAAGCAAGTGTTTCAGTTTTAACTCTGCGGCCAGGATCTAACCCTTGGTAATGCCAGGATAGAAACAATACAGGGGGTTGGGGGTGACATGCTGAATGATTCGAATGGTTCAAATGAAAATAGTCAGCCCACTGAGTGTCTATCCCCACAGGGCCTGCAGGGCTTAGTGCTACTGAGTGTGGCCACGTTCGGGCTGGAATCGAGCTCCGTCCTGCCCAGCAGCGAGTTATGTGATGTCTCTTCAGGTTGTTGCTGCTTCTGGGGAGGATTCCTTTTTGGTGAGAACACTTTCACCAAAAGGTGAGGAGAATGTAAAGCTGGCAACAATAAACTCTTACGGGAGGTGAGAAAGCATTCCTAGCTGGAGGAAAAAGGGGAAAAAAAACAAAAGGCAAAAAAAGAAAAAGTGAAGGGTCCTATGGAGCTGGCCAGTAATCTAACTCCAGGTTCCAAATCACCTTCTCCTTGCTCTGTGAAACATCTGCTAACACAGGGTGCTGCGTCTTCTTAGGTTAGTGCTTGATCTATTAGTAGGATGGAGAGAAATATGACTGACTGTGGGGTCCAATTTCTTCAAAACAAAAATGCATACAGTCTCTAAACGTGCATTTGCATGAAAAAGAAACCCCTTGTGCGCTGAGGTTCTGAACTGCTGCATCCCGAGTCCACCAACCCCTGTCCATGTGAAAATAGGTGCCCGGCCCAGAGGAACTGGATGCTGGAGGCGGTGAGTCCCCTGCCCCTCAGGCTGGGCAGGCCCCACCTTTTGGGGAAGGAGCCGGGCACGGGCTGGCGGGCGTTCTGCTGACATCTGATGACAACCTCTAACGTTCAGAGGTGGCTTCCCCAGGCGAGGGTGCGTTCATCAGGCCCCCTCCTCAGTGAAAACGTAGAGTGGACACACACCGCCTGTCCGCGGCCTGGGCACTGCCCCTCATGGGCCCGAGGTTTTCTTTCCGAGGGAGTGTC